AGAACAGAAATTTATTTCTCACAGTTCTGGAAGTTGGGAGGTCCAAGATCATGGTGCCAGCATGTTTGGTGTCTGGTGAGGGCTGCTGTCTGATTCCAAGATGATGCCTCTCGCTATGTCCTCACATGGTGAAAGGAGGAAAGGCAAAAAGGACTGAATACTGTGAAGCTTCTTTTATAAAGGTTTTAATCCCATTTATGAGGGAGGAGACCTCATGACTTAATAATCTCCTAAAGGCCCCACTATTGCCCTGGAGATTAAGTTTCAGTGTAAATTTTGGAGGGACACATTCAAACGATAGCAACCACACCATAGGTTCTGCTGTGTTCTATGGTTCAAACAGTAGGGCCGTTTGCACCCCAGCCTGGAGCTGCTGCTGAGCACTTCACTCATCCTGGACCCACTCAAAGCTGGCAGCCTTTTGTGTCATCCAGTATACGGGTTAGAGTGATATTCCCAAGTAAGGGCTAATACTCTGCCTCCAGAACAAAGACACCTTAGTTGAGGTCGTGGGGAATGAGAGATGCAATATTGTAATTTGTCTCTTACTTTGAAGGGAATGTCCCAGCATTCCCCAAACTACTAGACTACCAAAAACTTAACTGTTAGCCAGGCGCAGTGGCTTAGGCCTGTAATCCCAGCACACTGGGAGGCAGAGGCGGGTGGATCACCTGAGGTCAGGAGTTCAAGATCAGCCTGGCCAACATGGTGAAACCCCGTCTCTACTAAAAATACAAAAATTAGCTGGGCATGGTGCACTCCTGTAATCCCAGCTACTTGGGAGACTGAGGCAGGAGAATTGCTTGAACCTGGGAGGCAGAGGTTGCAGTGAGCTGAGATGGAACCACTGCACTCCAGCCTGGGCGACAGAGTGAGACTCTGTCTCGAAAAAACCGAAACAAACAGACAAAAAAAAAACTTAACTGTTGTGGTGGACCTTTGAATCTTCATAAAATTATCTCCCATATTTGAAAGCACATATGTCTTTAAAAGACTTCAAATTAATTTGCCATTTTTATATATCCAGTCTGATTACTTTTCTGTCCTCAATACCGGCAACAATGTGATGTTCTGTGGTGTATCCAGATGATCAAAGTCTCTTCAGAATATATATATATATATAGACACACACACACACACACACACATATATATTCATATATGTGTGTATGTGTGTATATATATGTGTGTATATATATATGCTAGGCACAGTGGCTCAGGCCTGTAATCCCAGCATTTAGCGAGGCCAAGGTGGGAAGGAATCACCTGAGTCAAGGAGCTTGAGACCAGCCTAGGCAAGAGAACGAGACCCCTTCTCTATTTTTTTTTTCTTTAAATAGAGGCCGAGGCAGGGCAGGTGGATCACTTGAGATCAGGAGTTCAAGACCAGCCTGACCACCATGGTGAAACCCTATCAATCAATCAGTCAATCAATTTTGAGACAGGGTCTTGCTCTGTTACCCAGGCTAGAGTGCAGTGGCATGATCACCTCTCACAGCAACCTCAACTTCCTGGGCTCAGGTGATTCTCCTACCTCAGCCTCCCAAGTAGCTAGCTATGGACTCCCAAGTAGCCCCCAAGTAGCTGGGCCCATGCCACCATGCCTGGCTAATTTTTAATTTTTCTTTTTCTTTTGTAGTGACAGGGTTTTTCCATGTTGTCCAGGCTGCCCTTGAATTCCTGGGCTCAAGTGATCCTCCTGCTTCGGCCTCCCAAATTGTTGAGATTACACACATGAGCCGTACACAGCCTCAGCATATATTATGATAGTAGGCATGAAATTAATACAGCTCTGGCCAAGACTATAAATGTATGCTGTTGTCCATTCCAAGTGACGGTTAACTGTTTCTGATCCTCCTTTAGAGATGGAAAAGAAAGCATTTACCAGGTTAATGGTCACGTATCACACACACCATGTATTTGAGGTAACGTTAATCTGCTTTAGCAAAGATACTAAATCTGGTACAGCACCTGCAATTGGAGCTACTCCTTTTTTGAGTTTGTCATAGCCTACTGGACATCCTCCAGAATCTATCTAGGATTTTGCTGAATCAAAAGAAATTATGATATGGACTATTACCTCTGCATCTTTTTTTTTTTTTTTGAGATGGAGTCTTGCTCTGTTGCCCAGGCTGGAGTGCAGTGGCACCATCTCGGCTCACTGCAAGCTCTGCCTCCCGGGTTCATGCCATTCTCCTGCCTCAGCCTCCGGAGTAGCTGGGACTATAGGTGCCCACCACCATGCCTGGCTAATTTTTTTTTTTTTTTTTTTGTATTTTTAGTAGAGACAGGGTTTCACCATGTTAGCCAGGATGGTCTCAATCTCCTGACCTTGTGATCCGCCCACCTTGGCCTTACCTCTGCATCTTTTAAATCATTAAGACTACCATTGATCTCTTACACTACCCGTAAGATGGATCTTGTTTTCGATTGCTATCTTGCTGGGGTAGGGAGAAGTTTCACAGGCTTCTATTTGGTCTTTCTCATGATGATAGCTCTTACCTCACAGGTCATAGGGCCAATGTGTTAGTTCTTTTAACAACCAAGTAGGTTGATTTTATTCATATATTTGGCAACCGGGGACATAACCACTGGGTGTGTCTGTGTGCACAGTGGATTCCCTGTGACCTGAACCTGGGCCAGGACTCCTTTATGTATATATGTATATATGTATGTATGTATGTATGAGACGGAGTCTCATTCTGTCGCCAGGCTGGAGTGCAGTGGCATGATCTTGGCTCATTGCAACCTCTGCCTCCCGGGTTCAAGCAGTTCTCCTGCCTCACCCTCCCAAGTAGCTGGGACTACAGGCAGGTACCACCACATCCAACTGATTTTTGTTTTTTTAGCAGGCACAGGGTTTCACCGTGTTGGCCAGGATGGTCTCAATCTCCTGACCTCAGGTGATCTGTCCATCTCAGCCTCCCAAAGTGCTGAGATTACAGGCGTGAGCCACTGCGCTCAGCCAGGACTCCATTTATTACAGGGTCTCCATATACCCCAACTCTAACGGGGGGATCCTGAGGATGCTTTGGGTCCCATACTGGTATCAATTTCATTTCAGACCTTGTGTCCAACAGTCCTTGAATTGCTTGGGAAATATTTCTCTTTCTACTGCGTTTGGTTGCCCAAACAATTGCTAGTGGACCTTTTTGAGGAAGGACTGGAGGAATCATTGCCAAATACATTTACTAGTGTGTCACGGGGTCCTCCTTCTGGAGACTTGGCCGCTGCTTCAGTCACTGGGTTGCAGGTCTGAAGACTGGTTGTGATCCAGAAGCTGAGCGATGAATCATGACTCAGCTTCTTGATCATCTAGCCTGGGCTTCTTTTAATTGTCTAGGTTGAGTGATATCCTTGTTGGCCATCTCACCTTTAGGAACATCATGAACTATTAGCCATCTCCATCGCTCTCTGCAGGTTGGGCCCCTCTGGCTGCTGTTCCAACTTCATAGATCATTATAATTGCAACTATTTGCTTCTGATGGTTACATGCTGCTATCTGGCCTCTATTATTTTGAGATACTATTATTCCTATTACTATCAAGGTACCCTGTTCTGAGCTTCTCAGTAATACCAATGTTACTTTTCTTTTTTTGAGATAGGGGCTCACTCTGTCACCCAGGCTGGAGTGCAGTAGGGCGATATCGGCTTGCTGCAACCTCTGTAAACCCCCAGGCACAAGTGATCCTCCCATCTCAGCTTCCTGAGTAGTTGGGACCATAGGCACCGACCACGATGCATGGCTATTTTTTCTGTATTTTTAGTAGAGATGGGGTCTCACTGTGTTGCCTAGGCTGGTCTTGAACTCCTGAGCTTAAGTGATCCACCCACTTTGCCCTCCCAAAGGGCTGAAATTACAGGCATGAGCCACCATGCCCAGCCCTTCCAGTGTCACTTTCATCAGAGCATTCCTTGGAGCTCTTCTGTGGAAAAGTCATTTGGTAAGTTTCCTGGTTTTACATGGTCTATCCATCCTAACTTTCCTCTTCTTTTAGTCTTTTGATCCCTACTTTCACCATCTCCTACAGCAGTTCTGTTATTTCTTTTTCTTCCTTTTTTTTTTTTTTTTTTTTTTTTTTTGAGACGGAGTTACACTCTTTTTGCCCAGGCTGGAGTGCAATGGTGCAATCTTGGCTCACCGCAAACCTCCGCCCCCCGGGGTTCAAGCAATTCTCCTGCCTTAGTCTCTTGAGTAGCTGGGATTACAAGTGCCTGCCACCACGCCCGGCTAATTTTTGTATTTTTAGTAGAGACGGGGTTTCACTCTGTTGGCCAGGCTGGTCTTGAACTCCTGACCTCAGGTGATCCACCCGCCTCAGCCTCCCAAAGTGCTAGGATTACAGGCGTGAGCCACCGTACCTGGCCTCTTGTTTGTTTGTTTGAGACAGAGTCTCACTCTGTTGCCCAGGCTGCAGTGCAGTGGTGCGATCTCGGCTTACTGCAACCTCGCCCTCCTGGGTTCAAGCAATTCTCCTGCCTCAACCTCCCAAGTAGCTGGTAGTTGGGATTACAGGTGCGAGCCACCACTCCCTATTAATTTTTGTTGTTGTTGTTGTTTTGAGATGGAGTCTCACTCTTGTTGCCCAGGCTGGAGTGCAATGGTGTGATCTCGTCTCACAGCAAGCTCTGTCTCCTGCCTCAGCCTCCCCAGCAGCTGGGATTACAGGTACACACCACCTTGCCTGGCTAATGTTTTGTATTTTTAGTAGAGACAAGGTTTCCCCATGTTGGCCAGGCTGGTCTCAAACTCCTGACCTCAGGTGATCCACCTACCTCAGCCTCCCAAAGTGCTGGGATTAGAGGCATGAGCCACCACACTCGGTCTAATTTTTGTATTTTTAGTAGAGATGGGGTTTCACCATGTTGGCCAGGCTGTTCTCAAACTCCTGACCTCAAGTGATCTGCTCACTTTAGCTTCCCAAAGAGCTGGGATTAGAGATGTGAGCTGCCCGGCCTCATATTCCTATGTATTTATTACAGCCCATCACTTTTTCTAAGCTCATAAGACCCATCCTAGGAATATGTTAGCACTATTTCTCAGGGTCCTTGTCAGGGTATTAAATCCTGTGTTCCAAGTTGATAACCTCTCCCTATTTTGGTTGAGAATTGGAATCCTCAGAATCCAGTCCCATTAATATTCTCCCGGTGTTTGTCAGTACGTATTGGTTATGTTCTGCAGCTCCTTTAGCTATAGTCCCTTTCCTCCTTTGGCACGTCCTGGTCATTCATGTTGTTATTTTAGTTATTGGTCTAATGATTAGGTTGGGACTTTAGAGTAGATCCAGATGGTGAGGCACCTATCTTTTTTTTTTTTTTTTTGAGACAGGATCTTGCTCTGTCACCCAGGCTGATGTGCAGTGGCGCAATTTCGGCTCACTACAGCCTCGACTTCCCATGTTTAAGTGATTCTCCGGCTTCTGCCTCCTGAGTAGCTGTAGCTGGGATTACAGGTGCGCACTACCACGCCTGGGTAAAGAGGCACCTATCTTGTAAGGCAGGTATTTTTACATCATCTTCAAGCAAGGGGGAATGCTAATCTTTAACGAAGAGGAATAGGCAGTGTGTTGGGTCCTTCTTGCGCTGCTCTGAAGAAATACCTGGTGGGGAGGAGGGACAGCATCAGGAAGAATAGCTAATGGATGCTGGGCTTAATACCTAGGTGATGGGATGATCTGTGCAGCAAACCACCACAGCACACGTTTATCTATGTAACAAATCTGCATATCCAGCACAGGTACCCCTGAACTTAAAAAAAAAAAGAAAATACCTGACACTGAGTAATTTATAAGAAAAGATGTTTAATGGCTCATAGTTATGTAGTCTGTACAGAAAGCATAGCAGCATCTGTTCCAGGGAGGCCTCAGGAAGCTTCCAATCATAGCATTAGGCAAAGGGGGAGCAGGGACATCACATGGCTAGAATGGGAGCAAGAGAAAGAGGAAGTGGCAGCGAGGTGCACACACTTTTAAATGACCAGCTCTCGTGAGAACTCACTGTCACGAAGACTGCACCCACCAAGCCATGAGGGATCCACCCTCATGATCCAAACACCTCCCAGCAGGCCCCACCTCCAGCATTGGGGATTAAAATTCGACATGAGATTTGGGTGGGGACAAATATCTAAACTACATCTGGCCACTTGCGAAGGCCCAGAGGTACAGGAAAAACTGGAAGTTAATGATTTTCAAGTATATCGACCCAGATATTGCCATCCTATGTCTCCCATTTTCTTTCTTTCTTTGAGACAGGGTCCCACTCTGTCACCCATGCTGGAGTGCAGTGGTGTGACTGAGGCTCACTGCAGCCTTGACCTTGTGGGCTGAATCAATCCTCCCACCTCAGTCTCCTAGGTAGCTGGAACCACACATGCATGCCACCATGCCCTGGTAATTTTTTGTAAAGACAGGGTTTCAACATGTTGCTCAGGCTAGTCTCGAACTCCTGGGCTCAAGTGATACTCCAGCCTTGGCCTCCCAAAGTGCTAGGATTAGTGGCATGAGCCACCACACCTGGCCTCCCATTTTTACTCTTTGTCAATCAGGACTCTAACCTTGGTAGCTAACCTGCCAGGGCTGAGAATTCAACCTCTCTAGAGCTCTGCAAATTTTATAATTATGTTTTAGGCCTGATCCTCAGGTTTTTCTGCCCTCTGGCTGCAGGAGATGATAGTATCTTTATATACTGCCAAGAAGGTCCTTTGACTTTCACACTTAATCTTTATTGTCTTTCTTCAAAGGATCTATTATCCCCAGCAACAAACATCCTATTACTTCTAAAATGCCTAATACATTGTGCTCCCCGACTCTCCCATGTACTCTTTCCTTGGGTAAAACATCTCCATTAACCACTGGTGAAATTTTTAACAACTGTATTACTATCACATGCTAGGGGCTAACAGTGTTTCACCTATCACTAGTGGTGATATCCTCATTGTCAATAGACTGCTGAGTGACTCCCAAATTTCATTTTAGGGTTTACTTTCTTGGATCACTCCTGGTACCAATTATTGTAAATTGGGTTCCCCAGGAGGCAGAGATTTGATTCCAGAAAGTTTACTGAAGAGTGCTTTTAGGATCACTATCCTTGGGAGAGTGAAAGAAGCAAGACTAGTTAGGTGGCAGGGCATTCACAAAACATTCTCAGTCAATTCCATGCAGAGCACTGGACCTATAAAATTTTCCCTCACTGGGGCCAGGGTAATGGGGTCTTTATAACCCTGCACTAATCAGTCTCTGAATGTGGGTTACCATGAGCATGACTTTAAATGAGGCAGCTCCTCTCAGCCAAAGTTGTGTGGGGTGCATTTTTTTTTTTTTTTTTTTGAGACAGAGTTTCACTCCTGTTGCCCAGGTTGGAGTGCAATGGCGCGATCTCGGCTCACTGCAACCTCTGCCTCCTGGGTTCAAGCAATTCTCCTACCTCAGCCTCCCGAGTAGCTGGGACTACAGGTGCCCCCCACCACGCCCGGCTAATTTTTTTTGTATATTTTGTGGAGACGGGGTTTCACCATGTTGGCCATGCTGCTCTCCAGCTCCTGACCTCAGGTGATTGGCCCACCTCGGCCTCCCAAAGTGCTGGGATTATAGGCGTGAGCCACCGCACCTGGCCTAATTTTGTATTTTTTTTGTAGAGACGGGGTTTCTCCATTTTGGTCAGGCTGGTCTCAAATTCCCGACCTCAGGTGATCTGCCTGCCTTGGCCTCCCCAATTGCTGGGATTACAGGTGTGAGCCACCGTGCCTGGCAGGGTTGTGTGGGGTGCTTAACTGCCAGCTGACAGCCCTTAACATTTCCAGCAGTTGGGAGAGTAAGGGTTTCAGTAGTTCAGAAGAGGAGAGATCTAGAGGAGCACACCACATATACCACAACATCCCTAAAACACACTTTCTTTTTTTTTTTCTTTTTTTTTTTTCTTGAGACAGAGTGTCACTCTGTTGCCTAGGTTAAAGTGCAGTAGTGTGATCTCAGCTCACTACAGCCTCGACCTCCTAGGCTCAACCGATTCTCCCACCTCAGCTTCCCAAGTAGCTGGGACTTCAGGTATGTGTAACCACACCAAGCTAATTTTTTGTATTTTTGTAGAGTCGGGATCTCACTATATTGCCCAGGCTGACTCCTGTGTCAAGAAATCTGCCTGCCTCAGCTTCCCAAGGTGCTGGGATTACAGGTGTGAGTCACTGTACCTGTCCCTAAAATATACTTTCTAGTGTCTGAATCATTTACAATGGGAAATAATTCATGTGTTTTGTGTAAAAAAAATGTTTTTAAGAAAACTCTAGAAGATTTCATCCTCACAATTTTTTTTTTTTTTTTTTTTTAGATGGAGTTTCGCTCTTGTTGCCCAGACTGGAGTGCAATGGAGCGATCTCGGCTCACTGCAACCTCTGCCTGCTGGATTCAAGTGATTCTCCTGCCTCCGCCTCCCGAGCAGCTGGGATTACAGGCATGTGCCACCACGCCCAGCTAATTTTGTATTTTTAGTAGAGATGGGGTTTCTCCATGTTGGTCAGGCTACTCTTGAACTCCTGACCTCAAGTGGTCCGCCCACCTTGGCCTCCCAAACTGCTGGGATTACAGGCGTGAGCCACCGTGCCTGTCCAGAATTATTATTATTATTATTTAATTAGCTGGATGTGGTAGCACATGCCTGCAGTTCCAGCTATTTGGGATGCTAAGGCGGGAGAATCACTTGAGGCCAGGAGGTTAAGGCTGCAGTGAGCTGTGATCACACCACTGCACTCTAGCCCGGGTGACAGAACATGACCCTGTCTCAAAAAATAAATAAAAGTAAAAAGAGAAAACTAGAATGGTAACTCTAAACCTTGGATTCACACAGCAGCAAATCACGCTTTGCTGACCTGGCACAGGATTCACTTGTCCATGTGCCCACACTTAACTGTGTATACTGACATTTCATTATTTTTGGGCAAAGGAGACTTTTCAATCTAACACTATCTTGGAAACTGAAGAAAACATCTGGGATTCACTCCGATAGGAGAACCAAAGCAAAACTACAAACACCATCTGTCAATTTTTCCTTCCAAAGGAGCCTTTCCAAATTTCTGGGAATTTCCTTTGCCAACTCCTTGTCACAGCAGCTCCAGAAGCAAGGGAAGCCACCGAAGTTTCCCATGATGTTCTGGGCTAGGAGGCTGGTGTCCTAGGGCTTCCTGCTGCACAGGTACACATCCTCAGAGGATGCCTCTACCCTCCTTCCATAGGTGCCAGTCTCTTCCTCCTCAAACAAGAAAGCCAAGTATGGATATGTCCTTTATACTCTGTACAAAAGTGCCTGGCTCAGGGACCAGGGAGGACTGAAATCCAGCTGCACGCACCTTGCCAAGCTGTATGCCCTGGCACTGCATCCTCTTAGGGAGGGTGCCTTTTCCTATTATGCACAAAGGTACAGTTCAGCCTAATGGCAGGCCTTGTCCTTGAGCTCACTGATAAGATTTAACTCTATTGTAATTGTGTGTCTTACAAGTTTGTCTTTCTCCTGAGAGTTTTGATGGCTGAAGCCTGGTCTTGTTTAACCTTTGTTCCCATTGCAGCACAGAGCTTGGTGTATAGTAGACCTAAGTCTATTAATTAGCTGAATGAATTACCATGCATAGAGGTCTTCTGGCCCACTGCCAGGACAGTCTACTAACCCCATTTTTAAAAGCTTAATACAATTATCTTTTACTATATTACAGGATAACTCTTTGCTGTGCTTCCTGCTGTGTGTGTGTGTGTTTTTTTTCTCTCTAAATTTTCTACTGCTTTTCATATCTGGTTCTCCAACTCTCTCATTAATTCTTTTTTTTTTTTTTTTTTTTTTTTTTGAGTCTCACTCTGTTGCCCAGGCTGGAGTGCAGTGGCATGACCTCAGCTCACTGCAACCTCTGTCTCTCGGGTTCAAGCAATTCTCCTGCCTCAGCCTCCCACATAGCTGGGACTACAGGCATGTGCCACCATGCCCAGGTAATTTTTTTTGTATTTTCAGCAGAGATGGGGTTTCATCATGTTGGCCAGACTGGTCTCAAACTCCTGACCTCAGGTGATCCACCTATCTCGGCCTCCCAAAGTGCTAGGATTATAGGCGTGAGCCACCACACCTGGCCCTTTTTATTAAGTCTCTGAACTACCAAATCACTTTTTAGAGGCTGGTCATTGCATCTTTGTTCTCAGACTCTTTCTCTGTTCTTCTGAAAACTACATTTTCCAGCTTCTTTGACAACCACATACTAGCTATATTCAGCCAATGGGAGGCACTGGAAGAAGATTGGAAGTGAGAGGAAGGAAGAAGCTAGGGTAGTTCTTCCTCTTTTGGCTATGGGGCTGCATCTCTTCTACGTGGTTTCCACTTCCCCTTCTTCTTCTTCTTCTTTTTTTGTTTTGTTTTTTTGAGAAGGAGTCTCGCTCTGTCGCCCAGGCTGGAGCGCAGTGGTGTGATCTCAGCTTACTGCAACCTCCATCTCCCGAGTTCAAGCTTTTCTCCTGTCTCAGCCTCCTCAGTAGCTGGGATTAGAGGCGCGTGCCACCAGGCCTGGCTAATTTTTTTTTTTTTTTTTTTGCATTTTTGGTAGAGACGGGTTTCACCATGTTGGCCAGGCTGT